CACACACACATACAACATACTATTATATATATATATATATATATATATATATACATATACATATACATATATATATATATATACATTGTATATATATAAATTGTATATACAATATATATACATATGCATATACATATACATATACATATACATATACATATATACATCTACATACATATATATATATACTACAAATACTACGACTGTGTGCCTACATTGGGGTTCCGTAGACATCAGCATAAACGGATTGTCCCTTAGAATCCACCATAGGCAGTCCGTTGGCATCAAAGGCGGGTATTTGGTTGCCAGCATCATCGTATGCGGGTGAGCCTGTAGGCACAGACTGTGTTGAGGTAGGTAGAAGTGCACAAGGTAAGAGAAACGCATACATTGGTCCGTTTAACTCTTGAAACAGACGCGAGTGTGTGGTCACCGGCTTTGTTGAAGCTATTATAGGTAAACAAGTCTACCGAACGTATACGAGATAGTATCTGCGACTACCATCTCAGGTTAGTGAACGACTATGTATTAGAGTACAAATGTTTGTGGCATCAAAAGCAGTAGGTGAAACTGAAACCAAAACACAACCGACGGAGACATGTACTACGAACTACAAATGACATACATATACCATACCTCCCCAGTAATAGTCACCACACCACGCTGTGCGTCTCTGAACAGAGGAGTGCCTTCTGCGTTCTTGATGTACGTGCCATCTACACTGAGGAAAGCCGTGTAACCATTCGCGATCATCTGAATGGCGGCTAGCTCTAGCTCAGATGCTCTATGTGTCGAAGAAATAAGCTACATTACATTGTATATGCGTACAACCACATATACCATTATATATATATACATATATAAATACATATATATATATATATATATATATATATATATATATATATATATATATATATATATATATATATATATATGTATATATATATGTATATCATATCTTTAGACAAGTATAATTATATAAACAAACATATTATGATATGACACTCAAAATGTATACGACGACTGTGTGCTTACATTGGGGTTCCGTAGACATCGGCGTAAACGGGTTGTCCCTTTGTATCCACCATAGGCAGTCCGTTGGCATCGAAGGCGGGTACTTGGTTGCCAGCATTGTCATATGCGGGTGATCCTGTAGGTACCGCCTATGTTGAAGTAGGTAAATGTATACATGGTGAGAATAACGTATACGTATATGAACGGAAACTGTAAAACATAGGCATCACTGCCGGTATATGAGGTAGATATACGTGCATATAAGAATTAAACGCACACTTACATTTTGAGATGCGTGAAATGTATACTATCATGCTGGAATGGTCTGTGTTGAGGTTGGTAACGGGATATAGGTTCTAAGTGGAGTGGCGCAGATAGAAGCAATTGGTATGAAAGAACGAAAGAGAGCATTGTAAATAACGACATACATCTTCCGAATTTTACATACATACATATACACGTACACATACACACACACACCTATATATATATATATTTATATATATACTTATACATACACATGCATATACTCACACATTCAAATCCATATACACACCTCTCCCCACACTGTAGCTACAGCACCCTGCGCATCTCTGAATAGAGGAGTGCCTTCTGCGTTCTTGATGTACGTGCCATTGCCATCGAAGAAAGGTGTGTAGCCATTCGCAATCATCTGCATGGCGGCTGATTCCATCTCCGATAAACTGGATGTTCATGTGCGAGCTGTGTTAGTAGATCATACGAAGAATATATATATATATGCACACACACACAAGCACACACATACACACACACATATTTATATATATATATATATACTATACCGATATGCATATATATAGGCATATATTATATATATATATATATATATATATATATATATATATATATATATATATATATATATATATATACACATACACACACACACACACACACACACACACATATATATATATAAATATATATATATACATATACACTTATATATATACATATACACAAAATACATATATATTCTAAGTAGAGCTGTCAAAGCATGTGCTTACATTGGGGTTCCATAGACATCGGCGTAGACGGGTAATCCGTTTGAGTCTACCATAGGCTGGCTGTTGGCATCAACGGCTGGTATTTGGCTGCCTGTGTCGTCGTATGAGGGTGATCCTGCAGGTACAGCCTACGTCGAGGTAGATAAATGTACACAAGTTAGAAAAGGCATGGAATAAAACGTAAGTGCACCTATGGTCACCATATGACAATACGGGAAACACATGACAAAAGCTACCAGTGTTATACTCTCATTCTAGGCGTTGTAATACAAGCCCAGGGGACAGAGCCAACAACCCACCTCCCCATTGATAGTCACCACAGCACCCTGTGCGTCTCTGAACAGTGGAGTGCCTTCTGCGTTCTTTATATATGTGCCGTCGCCGTTGAGGAAAGGTGCGTAGCCGTTTGACATCAGTTGAATGGCTGCAGCCTCTACCTCCGACAGGCTGTCAGAGACACAGAGTGGGGATGTGTCAGTATATCATATATGTGTACATGTGTTTCTAGGGTTTAAGGTTTGGTTGGTTCTTGTGCGCCAGGAGATGTGTCCTCGTTGACGTGGATGAGGTGCAGTAGTGTCCCAGAAGTGTGTAAAAAAGGGTCAGGTTTTATGGTTTAGGATCTTAGGGTTGTGTCCGTACATCACCCATATACGCCTACATATAACATGGTTCCTAACCAGGATACGTTAATAATAAACGTGAGTAGGAATTCAAGGATCTTTGTAAAGTACTGTGATATAACTTTGTGCTTACATTGGGGTTCCGTAGACATCGGCGTAAACGAGATGTCCCTTTGTATCCACCATAGGCTGTCCGTTGGCGTCAAAGGCGGGTACTTGATTGCCTACAGTGTCGTATGCGGGCGATCCTGCAGGTACAGCCTGTGTAGAAGTAGGTAAATGTATGTTGAAGTAGGTAAACTATGCATGCCCAACGAAAGCACACATCCTTCAGATTCGATTTGAAAACAAACTTACGTGAGAATATATCTTTTTTGGACACAAATAAATAAATTTATAAATACTTATATACAGAACTGCAACAAAAACTCATGTCTGCGTATATGGATAAGTACACACCTCTCCCCACACAGTGGCTACAGCACCCTGTGCGTCTCTGAACAGAGGAGTGCCTTCTGCGTTCTTGATGTACGTGCCATTGGCATCGAAGAAAGGTGTGTAGCCATTCGCAACCATCTGCATCGCGGCTGATTCTTCCTGTGATATACTGTATGTTAAAGTGCGGGTAGTGTTAGTATATTGTATCTATATCTATATCTATATCTATATCTATATCTATATCTATATCCAGATCCATATCCAGATCCAGATCCAGATCCATATTATATATATATATATATATATATATATTGATAAACGGGTGTACAATAACACGATCGTTCTGGAGTACTGTAATATAACTGTGCTTACATTGGTGTTCCGTAGACATCGGCGTAGACCAGTATTCCATTAGAGTCGACCATAGGCTGTCCGTTGGCATCAAAGGCGGGTACTTGATTGCCTACAGTGTCGAATGCGGGCGATCCCGCAGGTACCACCTATGTTGAATTAGGTAAATGTATGTTGAAGTAGGTAACGGTATGCATGCTCAACATATTCATATGTTTTCGAGATTTGATTGAAAAATGGACATACGTACGTGAACATCTATAAGCTTTTTGGACATGTTTATATGCTTGTTAAGGCAAAAAATACCAATATACGTATATACGTATATACGTATATATTGTATCAGTGTAGCCGTCGCCACGTGCATACATATATGTACTAATGTTCGTCTATAAAAACACTTCGACCACCAAACATACACATATTTATACATACCTACATACCTACATACACCATACACTCACAAACGCGTACAGAGATCCGTACACACCTCTATATATATATATATATATATAAATATATATACTTATATACTTATACAAACATGTGTGTATACCCACGCACTCATATCCGCATACATACCTCTCCCCACACAGTGGCTACAGCGTCCTGTGCGTCTCTGAACAGAGGAGTGCCTTCTGAGTTCTTGATATACGTGCCATTGCCATCGAGAAATGCGGTATAGCCATTTGCAATCATCTGCATGGCGGCTGATTCCATCTCTGATAAACTGTATGTCCAGGTGTGGGTAGTATCAGTATATTGTATAAATAAATACATGCATGTATACATAAA